GATCCAAGCCCAACCCAACCTCCCCCCAATCAACCCTATCTACATCCATCTAACTCAACATACCCCAATGATCCCCGAACGAATCCAACTACATCATCATCTCACAAAATCTGTTCAACACTCTCCTAATCAGTATCTAAAATATCAAACAATCCCCATGTAAGATCAAACAGGACACTATCATCCCCTCCACGAAAGTTAGCCACCGGTTTTGCTTCGTGGCAGCCAGCTAGCTCTATCCCGATCGCAGCGTCGCGTTTTCGCAGGAAAACCAGCGGAGTCAAAAGAAATATTAAACGGGGGAGAGCGCGAGAAGCGAGAGGTCGAATATCGATTTTCGGTCGCGCTAATAAATAAGCGCATGCGTCTTGGTGCCGGCGTTTATTCAGCCTGGTCGAGAGGAATACCGCCGTGGCCTCTTCCACCAGATTCTTCACGCCTTTTTCCGTCCGAAATGTTTCCCTTTCACACGCCCTCCGCGGTGCCCGGCCATCAACACGATGGCAAGCCTGAAAAGAGGATTAGAGTCCACTTCCTAATTTATTCGCGCATCGACGGACTCTGACACCCTGAAGGGTCACCGGCTATACACGCCGCCACTTTCAGCACCCTTCTGCCCAAACGACGTTACCGGCCATTGTCGCCGAGGAATTTGGGACAGTGTAATCCTGTCCAGAAAACAGAGGGACATGATCATCCCCTGTACGGTACAAGGGTTGGACAAAGTAGTTGAAACAACCCTGACGTTTAAAAAACGTTTTTGTACCGTGCAGGTCTAATGGTTTGTAATGTAGCTTGAACTCTTTCGTGGAATTGTTTGGATTGTGACGTTTCATGGGAGATTTCGATGTTCATTGATTACAGTAGGGAATGATGAATGTTGTAATTGATGTTAAGGGTAGTTTCGTTGCTTTTCGTTTACCGAGCGTTTAACCCTTCGCGGACGCAGATTTTCTGAAATATAGAAAATCCTCAGCAGATTATTTGGGTCTATCATTTTTAAACGGACCAAGAAACCCTGAGACAGCAGCCCAGGTGGGCTATAGACAAGCGTGGAGGGGTGGAACTATTAAAACCGGAGGGGGTGAGAACGTCGAGTTAATCGAGCCAAAGTGTCCTCAAATCTCTGCACCGTTTTAATCCTAGAACGACACTGAGGTGGCTCGTGACTCCACCAAATTTTAATCGGGCCTGAGGTAATGTAAATGAATGCCACGGAACTACCCTTCTGTGTTATCCCTTAGTATTTTATAGTAATCCTATCGTAATCGCGCCTGCGGCAATATAAATAACTACTTCCGTGGCGCTATTGTTTCTGATAGCTTTACGACCTCACTAACCCTTTACCTTTTTGCACTCGGACGTGACTCGACATCGGTTTCATTCGCAGGTGTGCCTCTTTGTCGAGATGCTTTTAACATTTAGGCAAAAGGGAATAACTACAACCTCCTCCATTATCTTCGATTGAACTCGTTCAATGAATTCGGTTAGAAATTGTGTTTTGTAGAAAAGAATCGTATTTGATCTGCAAATAATCCGACTTAGACTGATTAAATAACAAGAGAAAAGATAAACAGAATAACAGGCGTTGTCAGTTAGAGTAAGTGGAAAGTGGGAGATTTTCCCTTTCGGTTGGTTGAATGTTAACACTAGGTTTACGGAACGCGTCAAATTGACGCATATTGAATTTTAGAAATATTATTTCGTAAATGTTTACGCCGATTTTGATTGATGTGATCACACTGGCATGTACCCCAATTACCTACTATCAAATCTCCAGTTTCCACAATCTAAATAAACGAGCATCAATTCTTTTAGGAATAATAGAATGAAGTGTACAATAAATGCCCGTAAACCTAGTGTTGAGATAGATTGTATTATTAGTAAAAAGGTATCTCGTCTATACCAAGGCTTAGTTGGACCAGCTCGGGCACTCTGGAATCGCCACTTCCCATACTACCATCGCTAGGTAGCCCCTGGAGGGTGAGAAAGCTACAGTGCGTTACTGACATGATCCCGGCAGGTCTGTGGCTCAAAAGTGAAGAGAGGCAAGGGGATTCGGCGCCATGCTCTACCTCGGCTCGCGATTCTGCCAGTAACGAAGACGTACCGAAACTAATTCAAGTTTAGAACTAACCTGGTTCTAAAGCAGTCAAGTCTAGACTAACCTAGTCCCAAAGCAAATCTACAAGTAGACTAGTTCAAAAGCAGTCTAATCTGAAAATAACGTAGTCACAAATCAGGCAAGTTTAGAACTTATCTAGGCCCAAAGCTGTCGAGTCTAGAACTACCCCAGTCCCAAAGTAGTCAAGTCTAGAACGAACGTAGTCCCAAAGTAGTCAAATCTAGAACTAACTTAGTCTCCAAGCAGTTAAGTCTAGACTAACCTAGTCCCAAAGCAAGCAAATCTGCAAGTAGTCTAGTTCAAAAGCAGTGAAATTAAAAAATAACGTAGTCCCATCTGGCAAGTTTATAACTTATCTGGTCCCAAAGCAGTTAAGTCTGGAACTAAGCTAGTATCATGTCAGTAACACACTGTACGTGGACCTATCTATCCGCCAAATGTCTAAGAACGTTGGGGATACTTTCTCAAAAACAACGTCTTACGTTGTGCATACCATAAATCTTGCTGAACACTTGTGAAAGTTTCTCTTCCGGCGCATTGTTAGCCGTTACAGAAGTCTAAAACATTGTAACCAAAGAGAGAACCATAGTTCAAATTAACATTGCATTCAGACTGTGAATTCCTCTCTGCCATTTAAACGAAAATCAACGCTCAACATGTTAAGCAGAATTTTAAAGAATTTGAAAAAATTCATGTTCATACCATAATATCTATAAATAAATAAACCTCATATCGTAACAGTACAAATTCAGTGAATTAATATTTATCTTCTAATAAAGTTATTATTTCAAACGTTAACACGTTGAACGCCGTACCGTTTCATAGAGAATTGGATTATTATCATTGCACGTTCATCAAACTGAATGTCACCGCAATGGGTAGCATTATTTATAATATAGAAATGTTTGCGAATAATCATCCTTTAATTGAGTGAATTATAGTAATTCTTATGTTAAAACAGAAGAAAGTGTGAAAATAAAATTCTTCAGAGTGACGTAGCATAAAGCATGGGAATCATCTAAGGTATAATAATTGATAACAAAAGAATAACATTTCATTATCCAAAAAGGATCGAATAATCTTTACGGTTGCTCGATTCTCTTTCAAATCTACACGTATCCGACGCGTTATCGTAAGGCGAGGGGTTAAATAAACCAGCTCGCGTGAAATTCCAGGGTGAAACATCCCCTAGGTAAAAGAACTAGGAGCCAACGAGTGTTGGATCCGTAATTGGGGTACCAGTTGCACGCGTCGGAGCGAATTTCGTTGGCCAAAAGCAGGGCCGCCACTCGATGTGCCAGGCTGTGTCGCGGCCGCGTATTCGCTGCGAGTCTCAGCGCGGTACGTGGCTCGACTGTACAGCGCGCTTTTACCCAGCGGAACGTGCCGGTTCCTCTGGCTACAGGTTCGCTAGGTTATTTATCAAAAAACACCCCCTTCACGGCAACCC